TAGTTCATAGGTTCCAGTGGTGTATTTAATTTTCGTGAATAAGCATGCGATACATATGAATGTGTAGACCCCGAATCAATCAAAACATATGCATTTTGAGCACAAATTGAGAGTATACCTGACACAACGGTCTCGGTATTCTGCACATCTCCCGGTACGTGCGAACACTCGGCCTTGCCTCATAGGCTCTTTTTCAGTAGCTTTAGGATTGGGTTTCAGTGGAGCAGTTGATGCTGCTGCGCTTGGTGCAGCTTTACTATTGCCCTGAGGAGCAGAAGGGCAATCTTTGACCATGTGGCCCACCTTGCCACACCTGTAACAAGCACCTGAAATTTTATAACAAACCCCTTTATACTTCTTACCACATTCAGAACAGGGCAGTATGGAACCACTCCCTTGACTGGAACTGGTTGTTGATCCTGTATTTTGCTTTTTGTTCGATGAACTGTTCCGGCCTTTCTTAAACTTAAAGCCTCATCTCTTACCACGCCATTCGATCACTGGTGTTTCAGTCTGTTTCAGTGCCTCGATGTTCGATTCAGCCATTATTGCTCGGTCAAGAACATCTACATATTTCAGTAGTTTCAGAACATTGATTCTGTCAAGAATTTCAACATTAAGGCCGCCTTCAAACTTCCTGGCCTTTTTGTAATCGGTATCCACCATGTGTGGTACATATCTGGCGAGTTCAGTGAATTTTGATTCGTACTCAGCTACCGTCATGGTGCCTTGTTTTAGTTGTTCAAACTCAGTCACTTTTCGGTCCCTGACACACTGTAGAAAGTATTTCTCGAAGAAGGCTCCCTTAAACTGAGCCCAATTCATAGCTGTATTGGTGTCACGGACAAGCATCCAGCACCTTCTGGCCTCTTCTTGTAAGGTGAAGGTAACCAGTAGCACTTTGTGTGCTTCAGAACACGGAAAGACTTCAAACAATTTCTCCGTTTCAAGAACCCAGGCTTCGGCCTTTAATGGTTCAAGACCTCTTTGGAACGACGGTGGTTTCATTTTACTGAACTTCTGCGTTAGAGTAATTATATCATCATTCATATTCTGCTCAGGTTGAACTGGAGGAGGTGGGGGCTGTTGGTTCTGTTGTAGCCTTAAGGCCTTAGTCAGTATTTCAACTGTTCTTTCTAGCCTTGTCATTCTGGCCTCAGATGATTCAGATTCATCAACATTTCTTGCGTTATCCATTTCATTATAGACAATTATGGCAATTATAAACATAGACAGTTGCATACTTTAAACATATTAACACGTTAGAACATATATTCATGTCATGGCCACACACACTTTTTCAATGCTCATGCAATGCCCTAATCACTTTTCTAGGACATCCTATAGCTCATTTGGATACGTGTGTGCAGTATAACTCGTGGTTTAGTATCGCTCTGATACCACTCTATCACTACCCAAACCCGCCCCTATGGGTTTAGCACCGTAACCGGCCAGTAATCCGTGATTACCGAAGGCCTGCTTAACAGTAATAACAGTAATACAGAGTACAGGGGCTAGCGGAAGCCAAAATAGTAAATGAAAGATATCCAATGAGCTGTGACAGTCTGTTTGCAAAAAGACTTTTCATAACATATTCACATTCATAAGCAAAACATATATACATACATATACAATCATCCAAGACAGGGACCTAGTCCCTCTTAGAACAATACAGTACAAGTCTCATACAGTCTATACAAAACAGGAACAGAAACGAGGAAATCTAAAACACCCCAAAAGCCCTAGCTTGAAGGACTTGGAACCTCACAGTGAAGCACAGTAGTTAGCTTGACAAAAAGGAGTTTAACCCAACGCTCCTAGCTCCGATCCGGTGCTTGGACACCTACATATATATATAAACAGTAAGCTAAAGCCCAGTGAATAACATATGCGTAAAGAGGTTAGGAATGAATGTCCTTTCAGTATTTAAAACAGTCATTTGAACAGTATATCAGTTATTCGATCATAGCAGTCATAAGTGGTACATCCAATAGCAAACAGTACAGTAGGTCTTAACAGGCCGAACAGTCAGTTGATGGCCATCATATCAGTAAACAGTAGTGGTTCCAAACATGGAAACCGACAGAGATCTCTGTGACAGTAGCAGTACAGTACAGTAACAGTAAATTGCTATGGATGCCACGAATATAGTTCGCAAATAGGACAAGCATTCATTCAGTAAGAAATATCATTTCAGAAAGCAATACAGTTGATCCTTCAGAAAACATTCATGATTGAATATATCTTTACAACATTGTTACTCACAGAGTTCTGGGTTACAGATAGGCTAGTGAGCGTCCTCGGATGCCAACCCTACACAGTTACAGGATGAACACACACTACGTTACACATTTGGGAAACAATAACTTAGTCTTGACTCGGTGTGGTTCTATAGCATTATCCTCATTAAGATGCCTTAAACTAGGCCTAGGAATGCCTATGATGGAATGAGGATGCAAAGATGCACTATAAAACACTTTTCAGAATTTTCAGAAAACAGGGGTCTCACTCGAGCGTGGCTCTCTAAGCTTGAGCGGGCATGCAGACAAAGGATCTCCGCTCGAGCGTGACTTTTCTCGCTCGAGCGGACTGCAAAAGTACTAGATGTAAGAAATACACGTTCGACGGGCGCTCGACCCCCGCTCGAGCGTGAGACACAAGCCCTCGCTCGAGCGTGCATTCCCTCGCTCGAGCGGACTGTAAACACATGCAAGGTACTGGATACACGCATTTCACGCTCGAGCGTTACTTTCCTCGCTCGAACGGACTGCATGAACTCAGAGTGTACGCTCGAGTGTGGAGTTCCTCGCTCGAGCGTGGATCCAAAATCTGGAATTTCTAGATTTGTCTTCAAGCATGAAACTCAACATTTGAAGCATCAAATTTGATTCTTTTGGGCTAATTTTCTGGAAAACACTTTAAAACTCATAATATGACATGTTTCAAAGATCAATTTGCAAAATCAAAGTCCAAAGGTAGTTCAATTAAACCACAATTTCAACAAAGCTTCATGAACATGATGAGCATGCAACATGCATGAATTTAATCAACTTCAAAGCTTCCAATACATAATCAAATGAGTCTATCCACTCCAAAACATGATGAATTCATGGACTATAACTCAAATATGGACATGCATGTGAGGATTCTATGAAAACAACCTCAAAATTCGAGAATGTAAACATGCATGCAAGATTTCCTACTCAATTCAACATATTAAGCTAATTCATGCCTTAAATCACTAATGACTCATGGACCATGCAAGATACCACTAGAATTCAAGTTCAAGAAGATGATTCTCCAACCTTAGGTCCTAAATTCAAGATATAGAAGCTCAAATATGCAATCTACACTTCAATTCCTCTAAATTTCCAAGCAATTCTTGATGAACTCAAACTATTTCCTATCTCTCCCTCTCTAGTCGGTTTGGCTCTCAAATGGCTGAGGAAAAAGTGATGATAATGCTAACATGTACAAATCAATAAAAGGCTCATGAAAGTCCACTAAGTGGCATTTAGGTAAATAACTCAAGTTGATGCATTTTAACTTCATTTAATCTAATTTAATCATACCAAACCAAATTTCAACTAAACATACCATAAAATCACATTAATTCTAATTAACACAAAACACCAATCAATTTTAGATTCGGCCGCCGATAAGGCCTTCAATTCGCAATTCAAAGATAAAACATGAACATATCAATTATCAGTCAAACAGATAGAAATGCATTTAACATAACACATTCATGCAATCAGTTTAGGATTTCATCCTAATCAATTACTTAATCATGTTCAGTCACAGTTTAGCAGTATTCAGTGGTGAGGGTTGTCACAGTGACATGAAGGGATTAAATTCCCAAAACTCCAAAGATGTGAGCCCTTGGAGAAGGGTATAAAACTAATTAGTCTGGATAGGTTAGGAACTGAAAAAGCCCATTAAGCAGGGTCGGGTTCCCGTGTAGATTGTCCAATTACTTAATCACATTTCTCCATGGATTGATAGTGAAATGGATGGGACAAATCAAGTCATCAAAATAATACACTTCAGTGAATGCCATCCGGATACAAAGTCAATGCCCTATCTTTAACGAGACTACACATTGGGGGAACCATCCCCTCTGGAGGAGATGATGAGGGTGGACACCCAAGCTAGAATTACATTTGTAGAGTAGGAGAGCCCAATAAATGTTATACCAACAATGCTATAGACCCTTAAAAACACAATCCTTACCATCTCTATTCATCTGTGATTGGTCCTATGATTGGTCCTAAAAGGAATGAAAGAAAAAAAAAACAAAAACACATGATTGGTTCCATATCATTTTGAGAGTCATAGGGGTCTCCAACTTTAAAGATCTCAAGCATTTTCGAATGTCACACTATAGTCCACTTCAAGGATACACAACAGCTTGTGCACTTTTTACTTACCTTCCTCTATCATTTTTGACCAAATTTTTGACTTTGAAAGAGTTTTTCTGGCCAGACCTTGGCCGAGAAGCACTCAGTACTTCTATCATGCACTGCCCAAATCAAGCACAGAGCTCCATTTCTCTTATTGCAAATTTCACCCCCCACAGTCCATTTTAGTATCTGTTGTGTTTTTTATTTATTAAGAATACCCGGTAGAGAATGTTGTGATACTCTGAAAGTATTTAATAAATTTCAATTATTGATAGGATTCAATATTAATGAGATTATTAGTAGAATTGTGGGCAAATATAACGATATTATATGAGATAAAAATAAAATAAAAATAAGAAAAAGGTATTACATAAGTAAGTTATACCATGTGATAAGTATAAATTACTCTATTATGTTTTATTAAGATATCATAAAAAGAAATAATTATTTTTTTAGTGCTGCATGAAAAGAAATGAAAAGAATATTCATTAACAAAATTTGATACTCTAATGACTGATCAACGGGTAATCATCAGTCAGGAGGTAACTGTATATAAAATGTGTAAATAATACATAAATATAAAAATATTCAAGAATATGTGAAAATTTTACTTAAGAATTAACTATATTGATATCATCTCCACCTATCTATTTAAGTAGAACGTATAAACATGTAAAAAGAAGAGCAATACATTTGCATGGTTAAAACTAAAACAATGTTGGCATACAAAATAAAAACTACAAAAATATTTACAGAATAAAACTATTTTTGCTCCCAAAGTACAGATTTTGATGATTTCTTCCACATACAAAAATTCTATGAACATCAGCGAGGTGTTATGGTAGGAATGACCCCACTGACAAGATCACTTCCTGACACAATCGAAGATACATATGGATCCCTGGTTGTGAAGCCCCAGGAAGATGACGAAGCCGATTCACCAAAATATTTTAATGTGGATTTTGACGAGTCCAATTCGGTTTCTGGCATCATTCGGAGAATGTTTTCTAGCTCCCTGACCACATCCAACATCGAGGGTCGTTGTTCTGGCTTGTCCTGGCAACAACCGAGTGCCAAAGCTATTAACCTCTCAACGCATTCAGCGGGGTAAGAACCCATTCTGCTGTCTATGATCGAGAACATTGTGCCCGATTGATGAGCTAAATTCACCTGAAGACAAAGATGTTAGGTGCTAATCGATACTGATCTTTTCTGCCAAAGGGAGGGGTAAAAGGAAATAAACTCTTTGATACTTCATTATGTAAAGAATCTAATGCTTTGCTGTTTCGGTAAAAAACATTTTCTACGAATTTTTTTTTTTCAGAATATGTTTTCCTATGTATAGTTGCAACCTTGAAATAATATCTTAGTGATTGTATTATTGGTGGTGGTAGTGGTGGGAAGTGTTGTGATGAGTGGCATGGTGGTGGGGGCTGTAGGTGGAAGTGTTGGTGGGGTCGCGGCGTGGTGGTAGTGGTGGTGGGCTGTTGGTGTTAGTGATGGTGGTGGGAGCGGGGGTGACAGTGGCGGTGGTGGAGGTGGAGGTGGAGGTGGAGGTGAAGGTGAAGGTGATGGTGATTGTGGTATCGAAAGGCTTTTCACCTTTCAAAAGTAGAAAATATTTTTTATTCAAATAAACTTGTTTTCTGTTGATTAACGGAAAACGTTTTCAATTAATTTTTATTTTATATCATAGCGAAAATGAGAAAAAAAAAACATTTTTCAAAAAACATTTTTCTCTCAAATAAACAGAGCGTAGATGCAAGTAATATTTTCAAGAAACAAAATTACTGCTAGGGTGCATTTAACATAATTTGAAATGAAGTAAATTATTCTAATCTTTCTTGCAGCCAAAATTGGATTAGTTTTTACAAAACTTCAGTTGAAAAATGACAAAAAATTTCAAAAATCAACTCCCATGAATGATTTTTACCATTTACGAGAGTTGTAACTGTTTTACACTCATACCTATGTTTGACATCAGTAAGCAAACACGCGAAGAATTGAGACCTCAAAGATAACACTTTGCAAGAGAAAGTACCTCGCGGACAATGTTTTTGCCATGTGTAATTGGTTTCATTCCTGTCAAGATCTCCAGAAACACGACACCAAGGCTGTAAACATCACTTTTGTCCGTCAGTTTACGGGTCAAGAAATATTCAGGATCAAGGTATCCCTGCAGTTAACATCACATAATGAGACAGCTTCTTAAGAATGGAAACAATTGAACCAAAAGACATTTAACTATTCTAGAAAAGTTAGATCTCATGTGAACAAGTCCTCCAATCCACAAGTTAACCCTGTACCATTTCCGCAATCGAGTTTCAAAACAAATTTCAAGTATGCAAACTTCTATTCCATCTCTAATTTTTTTTATCTTTTCTTTCTCTTTGTTCTAATTTTAATTTTTGATTTTGGCTAAGTTACCCAATCTCTAATGTTGTTTCATAAATAAATAAACAAACTTCCCTGGCTACAGACTCAGGTTTTTCCTTGCACCGTGTTTGGATCATAGATTTGGATAAGAATTTAGAAAGGGAAATGGAAATGGAGAAAAAAAATTAACTTCTATCCCATTCACATTTTCATTACCTTTTCCCTTTTCATTTCCAAATTCTTACCCAAATTCATGTTCCAAACGCAGCCTTAGAGTTCAAGGCACATATAGGTGGTTTGGTTTCAAATGGTCGTCGATCTCCTTAATAGAATAAAGGAAGAGCTGAAATTTGATTGAGTCAGAAAGATAAGAGAACATTTTCTCTCAACAAACTTTGCTAAACTCCTCTTCTTGAATAGTACAATTAACCTTATAACAAAATCTCCAGAGTAGACATGATCACACAAATTACCACATTTATATTTATGAAGATGATGCGGAAACAAAAGCAACCAATCATCTTTCCTAAATTCACATGTTTTACGGCAATGACAGATATAAATCACAATCTTTCCAAATTTGTTTTGAAAACGTTGAAAGAAAGCTCTCATTTTGGCATTGATATCTTATTACAACCTAAGAAAATTAGAAACAAAGTTTATAAATACATGTATATAATTAAATATGAAAAAAAAATTCTTTATTTTTTATATGTAACAATTATTTCTTAAATTTGTTCCCAATTTTATATAATTTTAACAGTGCTGGCAGAGACAGACTTACTGGTGTTCCCTTTACAATTGTGGATACATGATTAGGTACTGTCCCTTCATCATCCATAACTGGTGCAAGACGTGAAAGTCCAAAATCAGCAACTTTAGCAGTAAGTTTGGTGTCCAGCAATATGTTGCTGGCTTTGATATCGCGGTGGAATATAGGTGGGTCAGCTTCGGTATGGAGGTAAAGGATGCCCTTGGCTGAACCCAATGCAATTTGTAACCTCACACCAAAGTTCAGAGTCTCCTTGGATTTAGCTGTTGAATTACAGAAACCATCTATTAGAGCTTAAAAACTCTTCAACAAAAACATAGCATAATCAAATTCGAACTCACCAAAAAGTTGATGCGATTTGCATGAAATTGTAAAAAGTAGATAAAATATTTTAGAAACAGATCGATGGCATCTTGCATCAAAATAACTTCACAGTAAAAGAAACCGGCAACAACAGCAAAAGATTATAATTTTTTTGTTTTGTTTTGCTTTTAATGGTATTTTTAACAATTTGGTTTGTATTGGTTTGTTCATAGTTGTGAACCCTTCCTAGTAGTCTGCTGCAATACTAATTTATTAGCTGCTTGTATGGAAAATGATGATAAGATTATAATAGATGCATAACAAGTTGAATAGCTTGATATACATTGTTGGGTCCATTTCCTAACAACTTAAACTTTTGTGATAATTGGTAACTTCACATGGTATTAGAGCTCAAGTTGGGAGAGTTCTTGGCTTCAGGTCTCTCCGTTTGCATCTCGTTTCTGTTTGCATTCTTTCTTGCACTCTTTGGATTTGAATGTTTGCATCTCCACGTGTGAGGCAGGCTTGTACATGACGGAGGGTGTTTGGATAGCTTGATATACATTGTTGTGTCCATTTCCTAAAAGTTTAAACTTTTGGCATAATTGGTAACTTGACACATTGGACTGTGTTCAATCTAAAACGTTAAGCTGCACGATTCACCTGAAGAACAATAGGTTGATTCAATCCGAATGGAAAAAATTAACTTTTTCACCATCTACAAATTGAACACCATTCAGACCCCCCCCAAAAAAATCACATAAATTCTCATTCCAATCTCACACTATAAAAAAATCCATAGAAACTTGAATCTTCAGCAGGGAAAGAAACGAAAGAGAGAAAGAAGAATAAAAGTTTAACCATGGAACAGAATTAAGTAATGATATAACCTGGGAGTCCGTGGATCATTTGTTTTTGCATTGTCCTGTGGCTAGTCGTTTGTAGGGTCTTATTTGCTCTCTTTTTGGGATTGTTTGGGTTCAGATATGTTGTGGAGTTGGCGTGGAGCTTGGGTTGGTCGCCGGCGGCGGCGCATGTGGTCATTGGTGCCTCTATGTTTGATGTGGTTAGTTTGGTTGAAACGTAATAGGCAAACTTTTCAAGAGGTTCATCATAGCGTTTCATGGCTTGGATGGAACTTCTGATTTGTTTGTTTTTTAAGATTTTTTAGATGACATTCTTGGTTAGGAGTTGGTGTTTATCCCTTGGGAGTTCGCTACGAATTTTCTAGTTTCCGCTAGTTGTTTGAACAGTTTTGTATTCTTTGCATCATCTTGATGCTTTTTCAGTAAAATTTATCTTATTTATAAAAATAAAAAATTAAAAAAAAACTTAAAAAACTTCCTTACCAGAGAGCCAATCTTGCAAAGTGCCATTAGGCATGAACTCATAAACCAACAACTGCACGTGCACCAAGAATGTAATCAGATGAATAAATTTTTATAGTGGAATTGATCCTCGTGCATCAAAATACTGCACTAAATCATGCTATTAGTTCATTGCACAAAAAAAGCATTTACGCATTTAATCGTCAAGCATGAATAAGAAACTAGTAAGTTCAGCAAAACTCAAACGCTGCTGAGTATTTAGTGAAAGGATATTATCTACATACACAAAACTAAATTTCCTAAATAACTCTAGAATGATTTTAAGGGGAGCATTATTTCCCCATAAAATCTCTCCATTTTTTGTAGCATAATATATCAAGTTTAAGCAAGTTTGCCTACTCCAATATTCCAAGAACTTCTATTTCCACACACCATATTATCTTGGTTCACACACTTTTTAAGTTTGGATATCAACTTCTGAACAAAATCTTATAATTTGGTTATAAATTTGGTTTGGAAGTTGATTTCTAAACCACGTAATTTTGTTTGGAAATCAACGAAAAATGGTGTGGAAATAGAAGCTCCCCAATATTCCATTTTGACAGCGTGACTATCTTCCACATTATAAACTAGAACTTCGCTTTTAATTAAATTTTAACACTCACTATGACAATCATAGTTATCAGTGAGTTGGTGTGCGCTTGAAAATTAAGAGAGACATTGACTTAAGTGCATTATGCATATGTGCAGTGTCTCTTTCATATAAAATCAACAAATAATCAAAAGACTCAAGACCGTGTAAGAAAGATTTCCATGGTTATGTCGTTTGCTGATAAACTAGTTCATGGTCTTAGCAGAATAAACTAGCCAACTAGAGCATGGGTGAATTATAACGGTCCATTTGTTTGTACGGACAAAATTTCTGAAGAAAAAAAAAACACATAAAACTTTATTGGAGTGCACTGCCCAATCAACCATACCTGCTCTCCTTCTTCATCACAGTATCCAACCAACGAAACTAGATTTCGGTGATGTAACCTAGACAACATTTGTATCTCTGTTAAGAATTCCTTTTGGCCTTGTAAAGATCCTTCTTTAGCACGCTTTATGGCCACAATTGTATTGTCAGATAAAATTCCTCTATAAACCTTCCCATAACCTCCTTGACCAACTTGAGTTGAGCTATTGAAGTCTTCAGTTGCCAATGTCATTTCTTTAAAGGTGAAGTTTTTAACACCATCAATCTTTATAGACAGCCTTGAGGAGGCTGCAAAAATTGCATTGGAGTTCATGTGACTCTCTTTTATAATTCTCAGACAATATAATTGAGAAAGAGAACCCAATTTTAGTATGCATACAAAATAACTCACATGAACGCCTTCTTGACAGGGTATGCTGGTGTCTAGCATGTCTTCTAACAACCAAAAATGTAACCACTGCAGAGACTATAACAGAAACGGCAACAGCTGCTAATACAATAGCTACCAAAACACCTTTGCTTATACCTTTCACTTGAGTCCCGAAATTCACTACAGCAACAAAAAAAATAAAAATATGAGATCACAATTCCAGGTAAAATAAACATGAATATGAAGAAATTCACATCGTATCCCCATAATTTAGGAACTCCCTATACGATGTGGCAACATTTCATCAATGCCATTAAAAAAAATACATGGCTACAAAAGAACAAATGTAGCCAACTTGTTTCTTAACATGAGAATTAGATAAATCCGACACTTCGACACATATCCACACCCAACAACACTGTACCCAAAATCAGTGGTTCTTGAACTTCTTCAACTTTGAAAAAGATGTCATCTTGAGTGCTTACCATATGAATATGGCCCCAAAAGAGTGAAGTTGAGAAGCTCATAAGGTCCAAACAAGTCACTACCAGTAAAGTTCCAAGATGTGAATCTGCCTCTAATGCGCAGAATCTCACTTAAGTTGAAAATATGTGTGTGATCATCAATGATCCTAGGGAAAAGCTTCAAATACATCCTCAGACGAGGTCCTTCTTCCCAGACAATCGATTCGATAGATAGTTGATAAGGTTCCAAGTTAAGAGAACTTGTCAAGTACGTCTCAAATTGATAAACATATGGAGAGAAATAAGAGAAACTAGGACTCTTTAGCCGATACCCAATTCTCAGAGGTGCTGCACAAGCGCACGGCATTGGAGAAACTGGCATATATTCATAGTTACCATCCACAGGGCATGCCTGAATTAGACAAACCATAGTTGACTTCGTTAAGTTCTCTGGAATGTCATTCCCTCCAGTTTGAGATCCACAGAATTGGCCTATGTTTGGTATGTTTGCATTGTTGCAGATAGGATTGCTGTGTAGCCTGAAGAACAGCTGCCAAAATGATAAGCACAGAGAAGGCAAAACAAAACATAGTAATAACTAATAACTACTATAATGATTACATCTGTCAATTCATTACTACTAGAATCACAAACAATATGAAGAAAATGCATTAAGTGAATCCAACATCTGAGCTGAAGTACTAAGATTCATAAGCACAGTAGAACATGGTTAAAAAATAAGAAATGCGGCTTCTTAGTTGGCACACCTGAATGTACAATAAATTTTATATGTTATGTTCCGTACGTGTTTTAAATTCAACAGCAATTTAGTGCCTCGATTACAAGAAATTATGCACACAGGATTAAATGTTTTCCACAAAACAAATAATTAAACAATTAAAAGCTCTAATTAATATTTTTGTAATAAGGTTCCAACCCTTAATGAAATCATACATCTCACATTTGCACATATTGAGGCATAGATTAGACAACAATCTAAAAATAAAACATTGTTTAGCATCATGAGTGCATGTCATTGTCTCACAACCTGAAATTCCATGCATATTTCCATTTTTTTTTTCTTTTTTTGATTGATGAAAGTCAGTGGTTAGTTGTTAGATTAGCATCTATGAGAGTTAACCTCTCCACCTTTGTAAAGCACCAAGGTGCTTTCAACTCCCACTTAGAGAGGGTTGAACCCATAACCTCTCCCTTGGAACTAAGCCCTCAGGAGAGTCATGGTGGCCAACTAGGATAGGCCTAGTTGGTTCATGCATGTTTCCATTCTTCACTAAGGCCTCGTTTAGGAGCGAGCTATTTTAATAATTTTTTGACTTTTGACGAAAAGATGTGTAGAAAAGTAGAGAGAATGATGTGACAACTTATAGTAACTTTTTAGCTAAAACATATAGTTGCCAAACGAAGCCTAAATTTCTAATTATTTCCTCAAAATTGATAAATCGAACACGTCTTCACTGGAAACACGTTAGAAATCAAAATTTAATGGTGTAAGCTTCTTTAAATGGATTCTTGATGCTCATGGCAATAAGTGTTAGCTCTGTATTTCCCCAAATCATATAACAAAGGGAATTGCAAGTGTTTAAGTGAAACAAAATGGAACAGACATGCATGCATCAATCCTTTAGAACACTTTTGCTAGATTTGATTGAAATAAAATAGATGAGAGAAAGATTATCAACACCATTATTTTTCTGCTGTTTGATTTAAGCAGGAGAAGCAAAAAGATAGAAAATGAAAGAAAACCTTTTAAACACTTGTTTATCCTTCCATCAAATATTTTCCTCTTAAATGGGGTCAGACCTGGGGATGGAGTTTATGATTAATGACGGGATGCACTATCTCAGCCGAAGTACAAGTATGTCGTAGAAGGTCAAATATTTTCCAATAACTTTCTCTCCCTTCTTTCTGCCAGAATGAAAAAAGAAAAAGGTCCCGAATTCGAAACCTATACCAACCTCCTTATAACCCTTGACTGAAATTGGGGGGTGAGGAGTGGGTGTGAGAATATTAGGTTTATGTATATGTGGTAGTATATATATTCTGTATATATTAGGGATTGAGCATATAATTTTGTTTCCTTTTTTAGTTCCGGGGTTTGGATTATTATATATACTGATGTATTCTTGTATCAAAAACACAAGTTGAATATACAATTCTTATTCAGAAATCTTACATGGTATCAGAGCTGGTTTGAAACCCTAGTGTTGTCATCGTCGTCGTCTTCATTTGCGACGCAACCTTATTTGGCTTCTAGGTCATCAAAATCATGGTTCATCTGGTTCGTGGCCTCGTCTCGTTCCTTCCTGGATTGATTTCTGGTTCTCCTTGCCTCTGTGTGCTTCGATCGTTGTTCTTGTGCGTAAGTTATCTCCCTCAGCTTCTCTAGACTTCGACCTCTCTCCCTCTAAGTTCTCTAGGTTAGCCACCCATTTGGTTCGTCTAGTCCTCTGTTCGAGTTGACTCATCTACTAGCTCAAGTCGACTTCTGATTCGCCATCTCTCTCTTTCAATTGGCCAATTCACAAGGTCGTGACGTCTTTCTCCCTCAGTCTCTTTGGTTTGCGTGGTCTGGTATCTAGCTCTGTTCGTGACCTTGGTTATGTGGGTCTTGCTCTAATTCTGATCGTGACTTCGGTTCTGTTGGTTCACAAGTTTTGTGGTTATTACAATTGGACCCCTGGTTTGACTATTTTGTTCTAATTTGGATTTATTACATGTAAACCCCTTAGTCTGGTCATTATGATGTCTCTTGCGACTGATGAGTGCGCCTTTTGCCATCAAAGAGGCCATTGAAAGTATCATTGTCCCAAGAAGGGATGTCTGCCTACCCCGTCTCTTCAATAGTCTCAAAACCAGTTCCGTATCACTGTCCCAAGAAGGGATGTCTGCCTACCCCGTCTCTTCAGCAGTCTCACATACTCCTCCTGCCGCTTATACTGCATCTGTTCCGGCTATTAATCCTGACTTGGCTTCCTTAAGTACTCAAATTAGTCAGCTTCAGCTTATATTGTCTATCTCCCAACCATCCCTATCTGCCTCCATTGTTTCCTCTCTTTATTCAAGTTTGCTTGCGTTTTCTTCACGTATCTCTGTCTGTCTAGATTTTTGACTCTGGTGCCTCTCATTATATGACTCCAGATCTCTCCTTACTTGAAAATTGTACTCCCATTCCCTTTTCTATTACTGTTAATGCTGTTAATGGGTCTAATATGTCTGTTATATCTGTTGGATCTATCTTACCATCTGCTATGTCTGTTGTTTCTATTCCATCTGTCCTTTATGTTCCTCAGTTATCTGTCAGTTTATTATCTATCAGTTAGCTTGATGGCTACAATTTTGATGTTATCTTTTTTTCTTCCATCTATTCTGTGCAGGATCGGATGTCCAAGCAACAGATTGGGATTGGTTGTGAAGTTGGAGACCTCTATGTGGTAGAGAGCCTACATCTGCTTATAACTACCTCTCGAACTGCTTTTTCCTCTTTTCAGTTAAATTCTTTGTCAAATCCTTTGTATTTGTGGCATTCCAAATTAGGGCATTTGTCTGCTGACCGTTTACGGTCTTTAACTCAGTCAGGTATATCGGGTAAAATTTCTCCTAGTCAACTTACCAAGTGTCGGGGGTGTAAACTTGTCAAAATGACAGCCTTACCTTTCCGTACAAGTAACTCTATATCTGATACACTATTTTCTTTAGTTCATACTGATGTCTAGGATCCTTTTCATGTTCTCACAAAAGGAGGTTCTGCATACTATGTTTCATTTGTTGATGACTGCACTCATAAGTCTGACTTCTATCAGATATATTGTACTTTTCAGTCTATGGTCACTACACAGTTTGAGTCTACTATTAAATTGTTGTGATCTAATTTGGGCGGGGAATACTTTAAAACTGAGTTCTGTGAATATTTGGCCAATTTGGGTACCATTCACCAAACTTCCTGTACTGATACACCTGTCCAAAATGGTTGAGCTGAGCGTAAACACCGTCATCTCCTTGAGACAGCTAGGTCTCTCCTTCTCTTTGCATCCGTTCTGACTTCGTTTTGGGGTGAAGCAGTCATTATTGCTGCTTTCTTTTCAACCGTATGCCTACCCCCTTCTTTCCAGTCGGTCTCCTTATGATGCTTTATTTTCTCAACTTCCTAATTACTCCCTACTTCGTGTATTTGGGTTTGCTTATTTTGTCCTTTTACCCTGTAAAGATAGGACCAAACTTAGTTCCGGTCTGTCCTATATGTCTTTTTGGGTTACAATCTTACCTAGAAAGGTTATCGCTGTTATGACCCTGTTTCCCATTGCCTGTATATCTCCCGCTATGTTGTCTTTCTCGAACATCTACTTTACTTTCAACTTCCTCCTCTCACAGCCCCAATTTCCAAAGAGGATTTGATTCATATTGATCCATTTCCTTCTAAGGTCCCTCCTGATGAGTACATCTCTGCTGTTCCCCATGAGCTTATTCTCTCTTCTCCTAATGAGTCCCTCTCCACTGACCCCCATAAGTCTGTTCCCTCCTCTCCTCCTTCTTCTTCCCCACCAGCTCCTACTCCTTCTCCTTCTCCGATTTTAGTTTATTCTCGTCGCAAGGCTCTCCCTCCACCAGTTGTCTATGCCCTTGCTACTGATCCTTCCACCAGTTGTCTATGCCCTTGCTACTGATCCTTTTGCTTCTAATCAAGTTTATTCTTGTCGCAAGGCTCTCCCTCCACCAGTTGTCTTTGCCCCTGCTGCTGATCTTTTTACTTTTGATGACTCTGATCTTGCTAGCCGTAAGTATCCCCCTAGCATCCATAAATAGGTAGTCAAACTTGATTTTGCTAAAACATGTTTTTTTCCTTCATACTGTACGTTTTTGTCTGTTATTCACTCTTTTTCAGAACCTCAGTCTTATAAGGAGGCCTGTCAGGATCCTCATTTGATTCATGCTATGGAGGATGAGTTATCTGCTTTGCAGAAAACGAGGACTTGGGAGTTGATTCCTTTGTCAGCTGGTAAGAATCTGGTTGGTTGCAAATAGATCTACATAGTCAAGACTCATTCTGATGGTTCTCTTGAACGCTACAAGGCCCGCTTGATTGGCAAGAGTTTTTCACAGGAGTATGGTATTGATTATGAAGAGACCTTTGCCCCTGTTGCCAAGATGACTATTGTTCGTACTTTGATTTCTATTGCTGCTATTAATCATTGGTCTCTCTATCAGATGGATGTTAAAAATGTTTTTCTTAATGGCCATCTCACTGAGGAGGTTTACATGCATCCTTCTTCATTCCTCTGGACAGGTTTGTCGTCTTCAACGTGCTCTGTGTGGTTTGAAGCAATCCCCTCGTGCTTGGTATGATCACTTCCAGGTTGTTGTCACTCAGCTTAGGTTTCATCCTTATGCTCGAGATTGTGCTCTGTTTCTCCTTCACACATTTACTGGTTTTGTTGCCCTATTACTATATGTGGATGATATGATCATCACTTGCTCCGACTCTTCTGCTATCTCTGAGGTCAGGCAGCATCTCTTTTGCATCTTCAAAATGAAGGATCTAGACCCCTTGAGGTATTTTCTTGGTGCTGAGGTAGTTTCTTATCCTAAAGGCTACCTTATGTCTCAGGCTAAGTATGCAAATGAGGTTATTCACCGTGCCGGTCTTACTGACACTAAGGTTTCTGATACCTCTATTGAGTTTAATGTGAAGCTCAACACTACTGATGGTGTTCCTTTGGATGATCCTACTTTATATCGAGAGTTTGTGGGTTGCTTAGTCTATCTGACTATTTCTCGTTCTGATCTTGCCTATGTTGTTTATGTGGTTAGCCAGTTTGTTTTTGCTCCTCGCTTCACCCATTGGGCTACATTGGTTCGGATTCTTTGCTATCTCCAAGGTACTATCTTTCAGGGTTTACTACTATCCACTACTTTTTCTATAGACTTGGTGGCCTACGCTGATTTTAATTAGGCTGGTGATATTACTGATTGTAAGTCCACGTTTGGTTTCTGCATGTTTCTTGGCGATTCCTTGATCTCTTGAAAAAGCAAAAAACAAACTTTTATTGCTCACCCCACTGCCGAAACTAAATACCGTGCTATGGCTCATGCTACTACTGAGATTATTTGACTTCGTTGTCTCTTATCTGATTTGGGCGTCCCTCAGTCTTCTCCGACCTCCTTTTACTGTGACAACCGCGGTACTATTCAGATTACCCATAACACTGTCTTCCATGAGCGGACGAAGTACATTGAGATTGATTGTCACTTTGTCCGTCAACATCTGCAGTCTGACTCTATCTCGCTTCCTTTTGTCTCTTCAACTCTACAACTCGCTGACTTCTTTACCAAGACTCACACCACTACTCGATTTCAGTTTCTTCTTGGCAAACTCTCAGTGTTTTTTGCTAAAACACATTGAGTTTGAGTGGGGGTGCGAGAATATTAGGTTTATGTATATATGGTAGTATATATATTCTACATATATTAGGGATTAAGCATATAATTTTGTTTCCTTTTTTAGTTCTAGGGTTTGGAGTGTTATATATACTGATGTATTTTTGTATCAAAAACACAAGTTGAATATACAATTCTTATTCGGAAATCTTACAGTGGGTTCCTCAACATTCTCCCCTTGGTTGGCTTGTAGGGTCAGGTCATAAATGGGCCCGACCTTAGGAGTTCCCGGGTCATCAAAAAAATAAAATTAAATAAAAAAATAAAAAAAGAGAAGAGTATGTATGTTAAGTATGTCTGTGATTTTTGTTAAATTTGGTCCTCATGCAACCTTAGCTCATCCTCCCAAAGTCATAGAGACCCAAGTGTGCATTCTATATAACATAAAATGCACTTCATGCATATCTGAACTTTTATTAGCAGAACTAATTTGGTTTAGTCAAATCTAAATCATTGGATTACATGGAATCTGCAGTATTAATGTACAAGATTTATAGGGGGGGAAAAAGGAACCATACCTAAGGGTAACATTTTCCGGAGGATTGAGATCTCCAACAATGTTTGAAAGTGAATTATTCTCAAGATCACTGCATATGTTTAAGTACACAGAAGGGAAAATCAGCATGCAACAGCTTTCACGAGTTCATTTAAGAAATTAATGCTAGTTTATTCCAAAGAGTAACAGTAATTTTATGCTTCAAGCTCTTACAGTAGGAGTCTAGCCTTTGCAATGAAGGACATGTTCTTCCAAATGCTAGCATGCACAGAACCAGTCAAATAATTATTCTCAAGTAACCTGTAATAAACATTCACATCGTTATCAAGTATGCATGGGAAGCACAGCAGAAAAAATAATTCACTGGAATCCTCTATTTTAAAGTAGAAAAATTCCACCCAAAAGGAAAAGCTAAAAGTATTTAATTATTTATTAAAACCCATGAAGTTTAAGCCTCACATATTTCCTCAATTCTCCAAAGAACCACATTTAAAGTATTTCATAACGATTACCATGCATACACTAGTTTGCAATAGGAAACAAAGTACCAATGAAGTATGAGGATACTCACAGTTTCTGTAGGGAAGGGAGACTTGAGAAACTTTCTGGAATAGATCCATTAAGTTGGTTATTTGACAGGTCACTGCACATGACATGTAGGTAAGAACGAATGTCTTATCATTAAAAATTCTTCAACATGTCTTTTTCGCATTGACTACTGAAATGAATTTGAAACTTTACAATTAGATTTGACAATTTGCTTGCAATAAGATGGGAAAAAAAAGAAGAGAGAGACAAGAAGAAGTAAAGCCTAGAGATAAAGAAGGATTTGTTAACCTGTACACTTAGGGCATATGTTAAGAAGCTTAAAAAGATTTGAATTCTGAATGCAAGTGAGAGCAAAATAGAGAATGTACAATCTTTTTAAGCATTCTTAACATATGCCTTAAGGCCACACGTTAACAAGACCCTATAAAGAAATATGTAACCATATTCAATTATAGGCAAATCTACATTGGCCATCTACATACATTGTTGTCATCGTTTGAGAGAGCTGATTTGATGGTATGGATCCAGTGAGCCGATTGTGACTGAGATCTCTGTCACAGAAGCTCAGTTAGTAGTACACCAGCCAAAAAAACTTGATAGGAAATAAATATTAGAACATTCTATTTATCAAAATATATATATATACATATATATATTAGAACATTCTAGTGAGTTGAACAGCACTCCAACTTACAAATAGCTAAGCTTTAGTATCCTGCTGAGATCAGGTACATTTCCTTGCAAACTGCAATTTCTGAGACTTCTGCAAAGTTGGAGCAAAAGAAATAGCATAAGACTTTTTAAATACAATAAAACAACACATTGAATGTACATTTCTTTCAATTTGTATAATTATTCTCAGGTTCATAAGGGATCTGACGGGAACTGTTAGGCTACCTAACACACAACCCTCCTCTTTCATCCGGACTTGGGACCGGCTGTATAAAAGATTAAGCAATAAGCATGACACATGCGGAGTTTTAACTGAGCATATAGCCCTTGATAGAGCTGAATAGCGAAAAATGATTCATGTAGCCAACCGCACTTGATTGGGACACAAGGCTTAGTTGGTTTGGTTAAATATAATTATGCTTCAGGATAGACGTCAAAGTAAGTAATTCAAAAGCATCCTGAAACTGAAAACTTCTATTTAATGTTTTTGGAGTAGTATAACATTGTAATTACTGCTTAAATTTATGATTCAGTGTTGTTTGCTAATGATTAATACTTTTGCACAACCCCAAAGCATACAACCAAGAACCACGGGAGACAATAACCAATTTAGAGAGATTAGCCAGGAAACAAACTTATTTCAGCTGATTAGGAACCGTAAATCTGAAGCCATTTGATTCTTGGATTCCAAAGCCATGAAGCAACCATAATTCTTAGGTCTCATGAAATTATTTAAGAATTGAAATAGGTGCTCATCTATATCTACAGAACATACAAAAAAGTCGAAGCCTCTAGAAGCAAAGGATGCCTTGTGGCATTCTGTAGCTCTTTCTCCCTCTTTAGTTTCTATCACCTCGTTGGGCTCCTATATCTATTCAACTCTATCTCTCTTTCAGCAACCAAATTATCATCGTAAAAATAAAAAGAAGAATAAGCATTCACTAATGTAAAAAACTTAAAATAAAATGACATAATTGAATAACTGTCTTATGTAATTGTAAGTGTGGTAGGTAGAGTTGAGTGTGTTAGGTGAGAGTTGAGTGTGGTAGGTAGATGTAGGTGTGTTAGGTGAGAGTTGAGTGTGGTAGGTAAATATGTTTTTCTCTTCTATATATAGGAGAGTCATTGTATACAAATATACATCAATCAATAATACAATTCTCTACTTCTTTTTTATACATTGAATTTTACAGTAATTTAAAAGCATCTAAAGTCAACTGAATACAAAACTATAAGTTCACAATAAAGGTATACCCTAAACCCTATCCCATGCCACTTGGTTAAACTTGGCCTTGTGATCATTTAAAGCATCTACAAATTTGCATGCGCATGATGTCCCATCTGCAAATTGATTGCATATTTGCTATCAGATCATGGATGCACAATTTAAGAATATGATGCATTCTTCCGCAGATGGATTAGACACACTGGCAATTTATGAACACTAATGAACCTAAGAAGATCCTATTGCGTCTCATATAGACTTTATGTTAAAATTTATCACCTACTTCACCCACTTGAACCTACTCCACTAAACCTAACCCACTACACCCACTTAAACCTACTCCACTAAACCTAACCCACTACACCACTACCACCTCACCTACTCCACTAAACCTACCCACTACACCACTACCACCTCCTCTCCACCTACTACTCCACCTACTACATACCTACTTCTTTTAAATCTTCTATATATAGGACTCATTGTAAACACAAAATACAACAATCAATAATACAATCAATATCTATACAATTCTCTATTTCTCTTTATACATTAAATTTTTCTACACTTTATTAAACAGCATAAAATGTATTGGCAATATATAAAAAAGATAGCATCCATGATCCATTCTTCGTAACTCAAAACCAGTCTCTCGATCATGCAAACAACTAGCTTATCAGATATGCTAACTGCTGTTATGAACTTGAGTTACCAGGGCCGCAAGCAATCAACATCTCTTCACTGAATAAAATGCGAAACAGCTAAAAAGGCAGACATTCTATAACTAGCACTTACAATTTCACTAGTTCCAAGAAGTTTCCATAAGAAACTGGAATTTTAGTCCCGTTGAAATTGTTGTTGTCAAGTTGACTGCACAAGGGAAACAGAAACATTAACAGAAGAGGTATAATTATGCCACATGATAATTTGAGTTTTTTGTCGTCGTTGGAAAATCAACATGCACCAACTCCACAATGATTCTTGGGTGGTAGGCAACAAAGAGATGAGAATAAGCCACAAGGAACTTATTATAACTATGAGAATTGAATAAGACAAAAACATGGTAAAAGGTTGGTAACAAGAGAATATACATATATTCCCAAAATATTGAGGCAAACTATTAGGCAAGGGAGAAAAATTTTAAGTGTAAATTTATAGCAGACAATAAGCCTAAAAAGTTCACTCCAGACATGCATACAAGTGCTTGGCAAAACATATTTCATGACAAATTGCCATCAAGAATGCACAATGACAACCGAAAGTGGAAACATCAAAACAGGACGATTGAACAGAGAAGGACCTAATGATACTCAAGGAAGGAACTTACAGTATACTCAAATTCGGAAAGTTCGAAAACTCTGATGGAAGATATCCAGTTAAGTTGTTATTGTCCAGAAGCCTGTGAACATTGAACCAACACAATAAACCCACAATAACCAGTAAATAAATATGAAATAATTACCACTAAAATGGTACAATTTAGTGAGAGGGGGAGAAAGAAAGAAATCAAGGAATCTGCTATACAACTCACAAGTGAATGAGAGTGGATAAGTTGGAAAGCTGAGGGGGAATTTGACCACTGATTGAGTTATTGTTTAAGTGGCTGCAGAAGAAACATACAAACAGATAAATAACAAAGCACAAAAATAAATTTCCTTGTTAAACTCGAGTAACAATTAGCTTGAAGGGCACTCACAGATGCTTAATACTGCTCAAATTTGAAAATGAATCTGGTACTGGTCCTGATATCTGGTTCAGATCTATTTGGAGTCTATTCAACTTTGAAAGATACCCAAGCTCATTGGGTATGGAACCTGATAATTTGTTTCCATTCAAGAGGCTGCATAAATAACATAGCACAAATCGTTAAAAATTAACATAGTTATATTACAGATGAAAATTTATTTATGCAAATAATTTGCAATTACCAACTGTACCTAGTACCAAACAATAATTTCAGTTAATATTCCATCGTGATTTTTCATAACATCAGTTTGATCCAATTTTGCCAGAAACAAACCTAATGTTACACAGAATTAAGTCAAGCCTCTAAATTTTCTTAAAGCTAAGCAATCAACTTAAATTTTATACCTCCCCTGTATACTCATTAATATCATTAACCATGACCAAAAAGATCAAATTGAGAAAAAAGCTTCCGAACATTCAAGTTTTGTAGATTGAACTTACAGGAGTTTCAAAGATGCAATATTTCCAATCTCCTTTGGTATACTGCCAGTTAAGTCATTCCACATGAAATCTCTTCCAAAAGAAAACAAAAGAAAAGCAAATCAGCATCAATGGGAGGATTGCATGGTTAGTGATATCTTTGTACATTAAATGTTAATGCAATGTCTCACAATATATTAAGCTGTGAGAGTTTGCCAAGCTCAGGTGCTAAACTTCCGGACAGGTTCATATTCAATAGCTGGCTGCACCAAAAATAGAAGAGAATCAAGAGATAATTAGGAGCATTTCCTACAATTTGAGGCACTATAACCAATATTAAGGAATGAAAGATCATTTGTTTTGTTAGAGGTAATAAAAAGTGATAAGGCACTATGCTGACAATAGAAAGCAAATTAAACACGTCCATATCATCAAATCTTGAACTCCTATAACAACCAAATAGGTAATGAGTTAATGACTTCTATTAAAGGAAAGTGAGAAATCCTGGAAAAGCAACATACAGCTCTTGGACATGCAAGTAACCATCAGTCATGACTGAATCAAAGCATAAAACTCCTCTCCAGCGAGACGTACATGGATCCCCTTTATTCCAATTCTTGAGATGCTTTATAGGATCAACTAAATTGCTCTTGATCGCTATTAATGCAGAGACTGCAAAGAGAACAAATCATCAGCTAATTCTCATCATAAACTAATTTACAAATAGAAGGTCCAACTATCTCTACAGCAAGCATGAAAATGGGAAAGTTGATGGTATCAGTCCCATTCCTAGTTAAATGCACAAATAATGTGAGACACACACACACTTCAAAATATAATTAATTTTACAATATATTATCCCTAATATAACACACAAACATGCATACAGAACATATAATTGCTTCAGTTATCAATATGTTTTAAAGGAAAAAGTATAGAATCATTCTTAGTTCTATTTTGGCACTAGAAGTGAAAAAAATAATAAATTAGATACAATGACCTTATCGCATGTATTGAAATCAAAAGAGGTGGATGAAGAAGTCAAGGCTTGTAATCTGCATCAGTGCATGCTTGCGAATTAACTGATGTAGCTGGTTCAAATCACGGGAAACAATAGTTATCTAGAAAATTCTTGTGTGACTGCAAAGTCCATAACCCGCTTTCAAAGAGGGATACACACCATATCCCAATTAACCAAGTGAAACTTGAATTCAACTCCTAGGCCACCCAATAAAAAGTTCCTCTAAAGCTTCTCTAACCTATTCACCACCAAGACAGGAATGGTCAAGAGAGGAACAAAATAAGAAGGAAAAATACATAAAGTACTCTTAATTAGAGTTAGCTTTCATCAAATTGAAAGGCATTGCCTCTTCCAAACCCACGTAGTTAATCATCTCTCAAAATGTTCCACCACACTATCCCTAACCAAAATGGCCTTGAAAGAAGAGCCAATCAAAAGTTTCAGATGCAGTATAGAAAGAGAATCAATCCTAAAGCCCAAAACATTTGCCCTATATTACATGAACTCTTCAAATTAAATCAATTACTTGTATCAGACACTCAACATCTAGGCAAGAGTATGGGATGAGTTCGATACTTTCAATCAGATATGCGCTTAGCAGGCATTTCCATAGATTCACTTTTGTTATATAATAATTGCATTTAACACTATCATTAAAGCATACGTGATGCAATACTCATGAACAATGAGAACATTAGAGCATATTGAGGTTATGAAATAAAATTCATAAATAATAACTAGTATGTTATATCCCTTGGGGTGTATTAAAACTGAAACAGACCTACAACTAGAATGAATGACACAAAGTTTAAAGAATAGTACAATTAAAATTTACCTTCAGAGGGATCGGTAATTTGTGCTACGGCAAGGAGCATGAAGCAACAAAACGACACCGCAGAAAGTAATTCACAAACTCTCAATCCCATCATCATGATGCCCTACAAATTAAATGATAAAAAGTAAATCATTCCATAGGGTCATCTATCATTCCATATTAAATTCAAATCCAATTACTTCAATAGCCAAAAAGCGAAAAGAAAAGAGGACTAATTTGTCATCATGTAAAGTGCTACAAAATATGTATTTACGAATACATATTATCATCTATAGCTACATATCCATTTTCCTACAAACAATGATGAAAAGGAACTTTATGCCATATGGTCATCTATCATCCAATATTAAATTCAAATCCTCATATCCATTTTCCTACAAATAAAATGATGATGAGAAGGAAATTATCCCATACCATCTATCATCCTATATTAAATTCAAATCCAATTACTTCAATAGCCAAAAAGTGAAAAGAAAATGGGGAAATTCTTTGAATAGGTTAACATCATGTAAAGTGCTAAACATGTATCATCGGCATCTATATATCCATATTCCACAGTTAAAGATGTGGAAACAAAAGCAATTCACAAGGAACATCAAAGTGAAGAAAACAATACTCCCAAGTCTGTGAAAAAAGCAATTAAGCAGAGATTTAATCTGGGTTTGTTTGTCCTTTGATAATTCTCAGCAACAAAACAGAGGATCAGAGTAAAACCCACCTAATATCAAACACAAAACAGAGTATCAGAGTAAAATCAACCTGAATACTGTTCATGAGGAGTTCAAAATCAAACATAATAATCTTCTTAACACTGCAACTTGATCGGAGAAGTAACCCAGATAGATATTTGTACTGTGATAGCAGAGTCAAATAAATCCTAAAAGGGATAAACATAAAGTTCAGAGGCGAAGAATGGGAAGTCAAAAAAGTTGAAGAGTAGTGTGAATACATCAATGTAAAGGAGTTCTCGGGTAGAAAACGATTTCTGAGATGCCATCGTCGTCACGTTTGGTTGATCCAGAGATATTTGTTGTTTCTGTCTCAATGGTCATAGTCACAGAGAGAGAGAGACAGACAGAGAGACTGACTGTTTGGAATTGTTTTATTAGTGATTAATTACAACAGATTATTAGTGATTAATTACAACAGATAACAAATGTATCAAAGAAATAAATAAACTATTATGTGAGGGATTTGGCCGTCATTCATCCTGTATATAGATTCTTGGGATAATTACAAATAGTTACATATTTTTAAGGTTTGTTAAAATAGAAAAATATATATTATAAAAAAAAGTTTTATCATTGTAATAAAATAAATTTAAATTTTTAATTTTATCAATTTGAATTTAAATTTTTTGATTTGTTTTCAATATAAATCATTTGACTATTTTCATTAAGTAAAATCGATAAAAAAAAATTATATTTTAGCAATTAAACTCAATATAAGTGTGTATAAAATGTCAATAATACTCATTAGTAAAAAATTTATTAGGCTTAGATCAACAGAGCCTTAACACAAATTTCATCAAATAACATAATGATCAAACAATTGTATTTAAATTTTATTCTTTGAAATGACTTATTTAGAGTCAAAATAATGACAATACAAACATAAAAATAGTAAAGAGAAAGAGAAAAAAATAAGAAGATGAAGATGAAGTAAACTGATTTGAAGAAGAATATTTTTTGATAAATCCTCTTTTTTAGCACTTTATTTCATCTAAGTTCTACTATGATCAAATCATCATTTTTTGCATTTGTTTTCTATTTTGAAACTAATGCACAATAATAATCTCTTATTTTATGGAAAAAATTTATCTCTCATTCTAAAGAGAAAATATTTCTCTTATTTCGTGGAAAAATCTTTCCATTATTCTAAGGAGAAAATATCTCCCGTATTCCATGAAAAGTGGGTGCCTAGGCCTCACACTTTTCGGGTTTGTTCTCCTCCTACAGAACCATTAGCGGCTGCGTTGGTCTATGATTTGATTGATTAGAATAGGAAATGTTGGAACTTACGACTGCTACATAAGAATTTTATGGAGATGGACGTGGAAGCCATTAAGCAAATTCCTCTTTGCTGTCAATGTATACCTGACATGTTGGTGTGGCACTATACAAGAAGTGGGTTGTTTTCGGTACGTTCGGCTTACCATTTGCAAATGAGTCTTAGCATACAGAAGGGGCGAGGGTCTGGGTCCGATGTGCAACATGTTACCTGGTTTTGGAAACGGGTATGGCGCCTCCGGATTCCTAATAAGATTAAGGTATTTGCATGGAAGTGCTGCTCCAATATTCTGCCGGTCAAATTTGTACTTCGGCATCGGCATTTGATAATGCAGGATACATGTACTCGCTGTGTTGATGAGCCAGAAACATTAATGCACTGTTTCTGGAGATGTTCAATGGCGCAGGAGGTGTGGCACCAAAGCCCGTTAATGTTTGTGCTAGATAAGGAAGTTGGTCTTGATTTTATGAGTTAGGCATATGAAATTGGGAGTAGTTCTAATGCGGATACATTGGGGTTGTTTTTCTCCATATGTTGGGGTGTGTGGTCCTCTCAAAATTCAGCCATATTCAATAATGTTGATCACTCGGCGGTTTCAACTGTTCAAATGGTGTGTGTCTTGCTGCAAGACTTTAGGCAGGCATAATCCAATATGCATGGACTTCAAGTAGGCTGTGGTATGGAGAGGTGGAGTTCGCCGGCAGGGGGTTTCATTAAGGTGAATTTTGACGGGACCACTTTCAAAAAACAACAGTCATGTGGTGTGGGAGTCCTCATTCGTGGTCAGCGTAGTGAGCCGATAGCTGCTTTATCGGAACAAATCCCAACATAGATAGGGCCGATTGTATTGAAGCCATTGCGGCTGTCAAGGCGCTGGAGTTTGCAACAGAGTTGGGGCTAACCAATATTCATTTGGAAGGTGACTCTCTGACTGTGGTAAAGGCTATCCAAGAAGAGAGCAATCTATGTGCTTCTTTTGGTCATTTTTTACAATGTGCCATTTCCTGTACCAAGCAATTCTTACATTTTCGTGTCTCGCATGTGAGGTGAAATGGCAACCTTATGGCTCATCACTTGGCACAAATGGCAAAGGAAGCTCCAGACAAGCGGTTGTGGCTTGCCGAGGTCCCTGCCAAGTTAATGCATATTTTGTTGAATGAAGTTCCTGTTCTGTAGGGGGGCCTTCCCTCTACCCTCTAAAAAAAAAAAAAAAAGAAAGTAAAATCGATAAAAAAAATTGTATTTTAGCAATTAAACTCAATATAAGTGTGTATAAAATGTCTATAATACTCATTAGTAAAAAATTTATTAGGCTTAGATCAACAGAGCCTTAACACAAATTTCATCAAATAACGTAATGATCAAGCAATCGTATTAAAATTCTATTCTTTGAAATGACTTATTTGGAGTCAAAATAATGACAATACAAATATAAAAATAGTAAAGAGAAAGGGAAAAAAATAAGAAGATGAAGATGAAGTAAAATGATTTGAAGAAGGATATTTTTTGATAAATCCTCTTTTTTAGTACTTTATTTCATCTAAGTTCTAATATGATCAAATCATCATTTTTTGCATATGTTTTCTATTTTGAAACTAATACACAATAATAGTCTCTTATTTTATAGAAAAAATTTATCCCTCATTCTAAAGAGAAAATATTTCTCTTATTTTGTGGAAAAATCTCTCCATTATTCCAAGGAGAAAATATCTCCCGCATTCCATAAAAAATATCTCAAATTATGAACTTTTAACTTTTTTATAATTTGAAAATTTTAAAAATAACTCAACAAAAAAATTTGAATGAAAATCAAAATATAATATGAATGGTCACAATAAACAATAAACATACAACTAACTTTCAAAAAAATAAAACGCATACTAAAGTACAATGTAAATGTTCACAGTAAACAATAAACATACAACTAACCTTCAAAAAAATAAAATTCATACAAAAATACAATGTGAATGTTCATAATTTATAATTAATATACAATTAGCCTTAAAAAATAATTCATACCAATGTAAACATTTACACTGTAACGTGAAAACATAAAATAAAATTGAAAAAAGTAAAAATCGACTATTTCAATTGTTCAATGATAATAAAAATAATTGTTCAATTAACAAGCATAGAAACAAAAACAACAAATATATAATTAACTTTAGAAAAAATAAAACTTATACTAATACAAAATGTTCACAATTTACAATTAATACACAGCTATTTAAAAAATAATAAATAAATAAAAATACTCATATCAATGTGAACATTCACCCTTCAACTTGAAAACATAAATTAAATTGAAAAAAGTAAAAATCGACTATTTCGATTGTTCAATGGTGACAAAAATAATTGTTCAACTCATAAGTATAGTAAAAATATATATATATATATATATATATAACTTTCGAAAAAACTTCAAGGGAAAAAAAAACTAATACCAAAATTCAATATGAATGCTCACAAATTACAATTATCATACAAATAAACTTAGAAAAACTAAATCATACAAATGTGAACACTTACACTGCAACATGAAACAAAATTGAAAGGAAAAAAAAGAAAAAGAAAAAAAGAGACTATTTCAATTGTTTAATGCTAACAAAAAATGATTGTTCAAACAACAAATATAGTAACAAATAACCAATAGACTCTCAAACAATATAAAATGTGAACATTCATGCTGATTGATAAAAAAACAAAAACAATGGCAGCAATAAAATTAGAAATCCAAAAAAAACTCAATCACTCTAAAACACACAAAAAAAAATATCACCCACATCTTCATCTTCATCTTCATCTTTATCATAATCTTTATCATTATCACTATCATTAACAATCTATGTAATTTTACCATTCTACAAATCCAAATCAAACCAAACCCACATTTGAAGAATATGTTTGTAACAAAATTGACTGGACATAAACAGAGTTTCGACATACAACAATGAAGAAATATAGAGTTTTGAACACAAAGCAACAATGGATGAACACGGAATTTTGAACACAAAGTGATAATGAAAGAACACAAAACTTCACTGCAACAATAGATGAACATAATATTATTACACTCATGTGTAAATTATAATTTTTAAACCCTACCAAATAGAGAGTTTTGAAACCCTAGTACAATGAAATAATACCACAAATGTAAATAAAACTGATCAAAAAGAAAAATGCGAATAACGGTAACTACCAAAATAGAGGTAATAACAAAAAGGAAATGTGTATATCTTTTTTCTATGTAATGCATATCAACAATATACATAAGGATATAATAGTCTAACAAATAATATAAATTGGGGAAAAATGACCTCATGGAATAAAAGTATAAATACATGAGATTAATTAGGGTAATTCTATTTCTACACATTAATTCCACTCAGTTCACACACTTAATGAAAATTTTCATTAATACAATTTTGTCCTAAAATAAAAATACCATAATACCCTCATCTTCTTCTACTAAAACCCTATTTCTAATATACCATAAAATTAGGCTCTGTTTGGCATAGTTTTAGAATATATTTTAAAAAATAAATAAATAAACTTCTTATTTCAATATGGTTTCATCTTTTTATAGGCAAAAAAACATTAAGATAAAAAAATGATATTTATTTTTGTCAAATTAATTTATATTTTTCTCATAAAAATTTCAAAAATTGAAACCAAACATAGCCTTAGGGTTTTAAAATTGAAAATGATGGTAATAATAGAATCTAGAGATGTGCACTGAAAATTTATATTTTTATAATGTGTGTATTTAGAAAGTGTTCATTAAATGTGTATACTGAGAATAATTAGTGTGTGAAAATAGAATTATTCGATTAACTAGGTTATAATTTTTCGTGATAAACTTATTAGGTTAAAACACCTCTAAATGAGATTTATCAATAAAAAACCCCTTGAAAGAAGAATCATTAAA